TAATGTCAGCATAACCTGAACTTTACCTCATATTTTAGTCTAACATTAAACTTTATATAGTAGTTATAGATAGTTTTGAATTTTTTTTTTTTTTTTTTTTTTTTTTTTTTTTTTTATATCAAGTATGTAGCAGAGTTTCCGGGTGGCAATAAAATCTGATGTCTTTGTGTGAAATTTTATACATATCATTCACCTCCTCCATAAATTTAATTTATTATTCATATAAAGATTTGATTTATATTATATAATTTGAGTTTTTTTTCTCAGTATTCATGTTGAATTGCTTTTTAATGTTCAACTTTATGTATTCTAGATGGATTAACGTTGTTTGTTAAAATTAGCCATACCGTTCTATAGTCTAGATGGATTAATGATGTTTTTAGTTTTGACCCATAGAAAATTTGGATTTATGCTCTAGCATCCTACTTTAATGTTGGATTGATAGAAAATTGGTGATTTTTAATTTAGTTTTGATTTTTGAATGTGGACTAATAACATCGTACTTTAAATCTGTAGCAGGTTTTGGGATGCTTGAAAATTGAAAAGTTATGCATGAAAATCGATGGGTTTATGGGTTTATACTTATACCAAGTGTGTTTTTATAAAATATTTTCTTACATTCATGTTATTTTAACATGTGACAATTTTGTTACATGTGTGCATTTATCAAATAAATTTAAAACTTTTATGACTTTAGATGTAGATATGTGATATGACTATTTGATTGAAAAGGTTAAGGAGCTGATTTTATATTGTTGTGTCATTTGAACCATAATGATACAACATCCTCCGAGGAATCAGTAGTCTAACTTTTTTTTTTTTTAAGTTGTATAGAATATTCTTCAAATGTAATTTGTTGCTAATGTTGATGTCATTTACACACCAATATGGGGCATGTTGCTTTTCACATGAGAGTTTATTTGACCTAGAAGTTAGGCATTATGTTTATGTTGCTTATTTTCCCTAGAAAATGTACTTTGAAACCTTTAGCCAACACCTAACATGAGTACAATGTTAATGTCGCTTTTGACCAAAATGTGTATTATCTAATAGGCTTTAGAATAGTCAATTTGCACTTTAGCCCTGCTTTGGACAATTTTTCTCTTTATGTTGATATCATAGTCTTTTGATAGTCTTTTGATAGGTTTGTTGAAATATGGCGATTTTGCCCTTTCCTTCATATAATATATTCATTTTTCTGTTATGGTTGATATTTATTTCATTTGAAGTGTTGATTGGTGACTTTTAATTTATATGTTTTGCAGCTTGTGGTCATTGTCACATGGATATTCACATACTTGTGGTGTTCTCACTTGGATATTCATTAATTATTTTGTGACTTATATTGAAAAAACATAAGCATGTTATGATGTGAGTTTATAAACAATGTATGTGACTACAAAAACATTACAACTTTATAATAAATTATAGAAAAAACCAGAAACCGAAACCGAAAACTGATAATTTTGTATACCCAAATTCAAAAAACAAAATGTTGAACTTCGTTTTAGTTTTAGTAAAAATCGAACTATCCACACTCTAGGGAATAACAATATTCATTCATGGTAAGAAAAAAAAATTCGTTATGTTCTGAAATAAAATCTATATATAAAATCAGAAACACAATTATTTCAGTAGAATATATCTCTCACGGTGTATTGACTTATTAGATGTTGTAAACTATTTTATGGAAAAAAAAAAAACTATTAGTCTTTATAAACTAATTTCTGAAAGAAACTATTTGAACTCGTCCTTTGGTGCGGGTAAACGGCTAGTTTATATATATATATATATATAATGTTGATGATTAATACTCATTAGTGTAAGACACTAGAAAAGTAATTTTTCAAATTTTAGTATATAAAATTAAAAACTTAGTTAATAACTTCTAATATTCTACACGATTATGTTTTGTTCACAATTAACGATTTTTTTTTTGTACTTCATTTATGTTTTTTTTATGTTGTTTATGTACATGGCATTGAATTCAGGGATAACATTTATACACTTATAAACTAAAAATCAGCTATAACTTAGGATATATACAACGAAGATATTATTTTTGCTTTTAAACATCATTTTATAATATTTATAATTTAAAATGTAAGCCATGAAGTTATAATTTTTTCATATTGTAATTTTTTTTTCTTAAAAATAAGATGTCGGGTACCTGGAACCGGAACCGGTTCCGGCGGTTCCGGGAGCGGTTCCAAATATTTAGGAACCGATGCAACCGGTTCTGATTCCGTTCCAAAATTACAGGAACCGTCGGTTCCGGTTCGTGTAAAATTAGGCGGGTACCCGCCTTTGCTCACCCCTACACACCGTGGCCACCCAAAATATAAGTTAAACGTTTATAAATTAATTCATACCTGGAACGGTGTTACACAATCACGTTAAATTCAAGGGAAAAAAAGGAACACAAAGTAACCAAGAAAAAACCCTTCAAAAGATGTAATGGAATTAAACAAAATATATAACATTAAATCCTTGAAAATTGAAACAAGCGTAAACCCTCATTATCTTCCTAAACATTGACATTTTCAAGAAAAAATACGAAACTTGGATACAAAGTAATCAAAATTCCATGAATCCCAAGAGAAAAACAGAGTAAATATACACATCCAATTAAACAATTAAGAGAAGGATTAGATGCAAATATTAGAACAATGAAATTGTTGAACCTTGGAAGATCTTTACCTTTGGTGAGAACCCTAGAAGCAGTGGTAGCGATTCAACAACTATAGAAGAACAACCGGGGATCTCATAAACAAGTACTGGAAGGCGGTAGACGAGGTAAACTCGTGAAGATGTTGTCAATTAAAATTCTTGGTTGACGCTGTAGAGGAAGGCGGTGGAGGGCACGGGAGATGAAGACGAAGGAGGAGGTGGTGAAGGCTGAAGCAGATCAAGAGGGAAAGGATGCAGTGAAGTCATGTCCAAGGAGACATAAGGAGAAGGGTAGAAGTGAAATGACATTTCTTTCCTTAGTTGACATCTTTATTAGAATGACTTGGTAAGAGCAAGGTGGACTGGGTAAGAGCTTAAACCGGTATTATCAAACGCTCTGATTTGGACCGAATCACAGATGACCTCTTATCCGACCGAGTAAGAGGTCTCTCACACAAGGTCTAACTCAGAGTGGGTTGATAAGGAATGATATGTTTCTTTTGTATGTTAAGCTTTAGATGTAGGTATTATCATATTTCTTTTGTCTTCACTAGCTATCTAGATTAGAGTTTTGAGACATGTCCTTTTAACTTTAGTTTTTTGTTTTTCACGAGGGTTTTCTCATACTTGTTGTTTGTATTATTATTTTGTTTCTTAATATACTTTATTATAGACTTGTCTTGTTTTCTCATACTTGTTGTTTGTATTATTATTTTGTTTCTTAATATACTTTATTATAGACTTGTCTTGTTTTCTCATACTTGTTGTTTGTATTATTATTTTGTTTCTTAATATACTTTACCGAAGGCTTGTCTTGTTATGATTTTGTTTACAACAAAAGTGTTCGTAAAGAGAAGCTTGACACATCTACAGGGTGTTTGGGCTTGAATTTGAAAATGTTCTTTTAAAATAATTTATGGCTTAAAAAGATGAAAAATACTATAATACATTCATTAAAACCTAACACTTTTAGGTTATAACTTAATATTTTTACATATAATATTATATATAAAAATACTATTACATATAATATTGTATATAAAAATACTAAATAATTCGAAATATATAAGCATATTTTATTTTTGTCGGTTTATACATATAACTTAATCCAAAAAATATAATAAATAAAACTTATAAATTCATAATTTCTTTTATCACAATATAAGCTAACCCAAATAATTTTTTTTAAAAACTCAAAAATACTAATATATATATATATGAAAAAGTTCAATAGAAAACCATAATTATTAGTTTAACAAGAAATCAAATATTTTTTTCAAGAATTAAACTTATTCTTTATTGAAAAAAACTAAAAATATCTAAATTCATAACTTAACATTATGAATGTTAAATATATTTTTCGGATCACATTGTGAATTTTCAAAGATTTACATTGTGAATTTGACGAAGTTTTTTTTATCGAATTTGATGTCATTGGAAAAGGGATAAAAAGTTATGAATTTCAGTATTTTTAGTTTTTTTTTTTTTAATAAAAAATAAGTTCTAAAAGTTGAAAAAAAAGATTGATTCTTTGATAATTATGGTTCTCTATTGAACTTTTTTTTTTCTCTCTCTCTCTCTCTCTCTCTATATATATATATATATATATATATATATATATATATATATATATATATATATATATGTGTGTGTGTATGTGTGTGTAGGTCCCTCTGTCTTACAAAATACATTTTGTCTCAAATGAACCTCTTCATATATATATATATATATATATATATATATATATATATATATATATATATATATATAGAGAGAGAGAGAGAGAGAGAGAAAGAAAAAAAGAGAAATACATTTTGTCTCAAATGAACCTCTTCATATATATATATATATATATATATATATATATATATATATATATATATATATATATATATATATATATATATATAGAGAGAGAGAGAGAGAGAAAAAGAAAGAGAAAGAGAGAGAGAGAGGAAGATGTTCATTTTAGACCAAAGGTATATTGTGAGACAAAGGACCAATTTTCAGCCTTTGATAAAAAATGATCATGCGATTGACAAAAGAACATAATTCAGGTTTGATTAAGGCGCCTCATTAGTTAATTAGGGGCTGTTTAGTCAAGTTCTAAAAAAAAAGGCTTATTAACGTCAAAATTATGTCACATTCTTATTAGGGCCAACAACCGATCATGAATTTGCAACGATTTGAAGATTATTTTAGCAAATCTATTACCAGAACTCAATTGTACACTTTTAAAACTTCGTTACCTTTTTAAATCATTTTCCCTTATATGCACCATCTACTCTTATCAATATCATCCATCTTCAACAAATCGCCACCATTTGCCACTAAATCACACCCATCTACACCACCAATAAAATTATTAATTTAAAATCTTTAAACAAAATTGTTTATAGTTGTTTCGTGATTCAAGAAAGAAAATATCATGAGGCTTAGAGGGGGTCAAAATGGACAGATGCATAGTGCTAATTTTTATTATTATATATTTTATTTAAAAATATAAAATTACAATAAAGATAATGACTATTTTTTTTTATTTGTCCAAAACATTTAAGAATATTTTATTTTTCAGATTCGGCTCTAAATAGGTTGTGGCCTAGGTAGGATGGATTTGGCAAATTAGGACGAGGGGGAGAAGAGTATGAAAATGTGTGCCTCGTATATGGAATGGGTGGGAGTGGAATGAGGAGATTGTGTACTTTAGAATGTTTTAGAAAATAAACATTTAAAATTATATTATCATTTTTCTTTGGAATTATTTTAGCTAAAAATATGATCGACAAATTGATAATCATTGGAAAATATGAATATATATATATATATATATATATATATATATATATATATATATATAATTAATTTACTAATACATTTCATACAAAAATACAAGCTTAATGGTGCTTTTCAACATTAAATGCAAATTTAATAATATTTATTATAAAAAAATAGTTTAATAATAAATTTCATACAAAAATATAAGTTTAATGGTGATTTTCAACCTCAAATATAAATTTAATAATATTTATTAAACTCGTTATATTTAATAATATTTATTAAACTCGTTAGATTTATAATAGGTAGTCAAAAAATTTAAAATAATATTTATTTTTAAACCATAAATAAATATGAATTTAATGGTGAATACTACCTCTCATGTTTTTATTGACAAATACCAAAATCATTTATACTATGTGCATGTAATTTATTTTCATAAATTAATAACAATAAAATTGGACAAAAAGAAATGAAAACAAATAACAATCATTTAATTAAACACATCAAACTAAAATCTAAAAGCCGCCGCCCAACAGCGAAAAAGGATAAGGTGGTGGTGGTCTTACATCTGAACCTACCGGCCCGCTTCCATGGTCAGTATCAAAGCTACCACCGCCACCACCGGCCTTGTTCGTCGGAAACCTCATCATCGGTGCATCTGCCACCGTCGACGACCGCCAAAACAACGCTCCCTCAGCAAACGATTCGGACACCTCACATTCATCAGATTTAACCGAATTCGCAACGCTACTCGACGACGCCGGCGACGTCCGTTGCCTTTTCTTCTCCACCAACCGTTTTTGTTTCGTCTCGAGCATCATACGCGTCAAGATCTGCGGATCTTCAGCCACTTGACACAATAACGCCATGATTTGCTTCGGCCGTCGCTCCGTCGCCTCAAGCCGCTTTCTCATCCCTATCATCTCCTTCTCCAATACCTTCTGCTCCTCCTTCAATCTCGCAATCTCCACCACCATTTCATCTTCCTCATCGTTAACATTCCCTCTGATATTACTCTGCTTTTTCCTTCCTATGTTCTTCAGTAAATGTACCTGTCCTCTCAAAAACCACTCATTCGCGAATTCACATTTATCAGGATCCACTTTTCTGAATCCCTAAAAAAGCAAATCATTATTAACCCATTAATCCACAAATCAAAACTATAAACACCTCCAACAAAAACAACATTTAACCTAATTGGAGAGAAAGTTGGGATTGCTTACATAAGTATTTAATTGGCGTATGAAACTGGAGAAATTGCTGTGCTTGAAGAATGCAGGCAAGAGGCATTGAGAGAAACGTGAGGAGTCGACGACGATGAAGCTGTTGTCGGCTTTCCCCCACCGGATGAGATAATCCGACGACGGATCGTTTACCATTTGGTAAGTCTTCAAAACAAACGGCGCAATCGCGTCGTTCACCTCCATTGTTTGATTCTTTTTCTGCAGAGCCAAAAAGAGAGGGAGATATGTGCTTGAAAAACATACTTCGTGGACACTTGGTATACTAGAGCCAAGGTTATTATTTTATTTAAATATCTAAAATACTATTATCATAATATAATTCGGGAAGAAAAATTATTTTCATAAATTTATTGTTAACGTATCTCTGTTTATAGAGTAAAAAGCAAAATAAATGTCTCGAATCTAATTCTATTTTTAAATTTAAAAATAGACTTATGAAAAATATTATTCCAAATTTGAATACTATTTATTTACATTATAAATAGATTCTTAGGTGTTTTAGTTTTTTCTACAAAACCTCTTTTAACCTCTTATTGTTGTGTCGTGCAGCACATATGCAGCACTTGACCATTTGCAATTGTTTGTTTTTCAGAAGACTTTTGACTTAAAACTGTTGCGCGTGTGATGCGTGGCGCAGCACTAAACCAGTTGCTTCAAACCTCTTCACGTCTTACTTTAACGTACTGCAGCAGTCTGCAAACGTAAAAAAAACAAACATATATTTTTTTAAATGTTGCAGCCGTTTGTTCCACCTCTTCTGCTACAGAGGGTTGCAGGTAGACTTCAGATATTTTTGCTTCAGAAAAACAAACAGCACCTAAGTTTCATTATGTATCTTTGATATTTCAATTGTGAGTTTATATATATCTAACTTATTTAATTTTTTTTACTCTTAGAGTTTATATATTTTAAGTTGTATTAATTATATTTGTATATTTAAATATAATAATTGTTGCAAATGTATTTATAAATTATAAATGAAATCATTTGTTTAATAAAATATTTTTTTATTAATATCACAATTAATTTGATTTTTTTATAGTAATTATAGTTTTAGTTATATTTATTTAATAATATAAATATTAAATTTCTTGTAACAAAAATATTTTAGACAATTTATAAAAAATAACAAATAAATAAAACTTTCTAAATTAAAGGGTATTTATAAAAATCTAAAAAGTGAAGAAAAAATATTTTGAATATTATTGGAAAATAATATCCAAGTTTAACTATTTTGATAATATTTTTAATAATAGGAGAGTCCTTTTGGATTGGCCCCATGACCCATAAGAAAATGGAGAGAAATAAGTTGTTAATTTATTAAAGAGTTAGTAAATTAATTAGAAATTATTTTTATAATTAATTAAAGAGGTTAAATACTAATTAATCCAATGGATTAATCGGAATATCCCAAAAGCTCCCAGAGAGCTTACAGGGGATGGTTTTGAAGACTACATAAATAGTGATATGCAGGTTTGAATCAGATAAAGATTAACCTTAGAGTTTGAATCATTTTAGGATTTTATCTATAGACTATAAATATATTGTTATGGGTTAAACCCTAGAGCTGATTATTCTCTTAGATATCGTCAATCTCTCTCTTGTCTCTCCTAGTATATGAAATTCATAACCTAGGGGTAGTGAATTTTCGATAAACCCTAAATTTAGGTTTAATCATTTTTGCTTTTGGTGTTGTGTGTCTGACTTCATTAGAGATGTGCCATGTTGGATCCTTCATTCATAAACACTCACAAGATCATAATCAAGCAATCAAGAGGTTAGTAATTCTTTCGTTTGTTGGTTTTTAAAGTGTATTGCTAAAACAAGTAAAACCTAGATTTTATGGTGCATGTATATTTAGGTAAATCTTATAATTGTTTTTCGCTACCTTAATGTATTTGATGCTTAAGAAATCCAACAAATATTATTATTTTTTTAATGTAAAAAGTAAAGTATAGGGAAAGATAAATCATTATTAACTTTATTAGTTGGTGTAGAAAGTTGGAAGCTGAAAGTTGATAGATAAAAGTTGGCAATTGGTAACTACAAGTTGTAGATTTTATTTGCACAAAAGTTTTTTTTTTTTTTTTTTTTTTTTTTTTGTAAAAGTATTTGTTAACTTTTAAATAAAAATATATATTAAATCAAAAGCTAAAAGTTCCAAAAAAAAACTACTCGAAATAACTTTTGTATTAGTAGTTTTTTGTTTAAAGTAAAAGTTAAAAACTCTTACTATCGAAACTTTTTTTTTCCGGGTTTTTTCTTATTAGTTAAAATCTAAAAATTGTTAAAAAAAACCGTACCGAATACGTCCATAATTTAACATAAAAATTATTTATTTTTTAATAATTAATTTCATAAATAGGTAATAATCTATTTATATATTTACACATAACATTTAAGAAAATAATCACAAATTCAAATGAATGAAACATTATATTCATAAAATATCACTAAAATCATTTAAATAATAATAATAATAATAATAGTACTTTTATGAACAAAAAAGTTCTTGTCGTTACCTTCTGTATAATACTTTTTTAATATATTAATATTGTATGAAAAATATAATCTATTTTGTAATATTAATATTAACCCCTCATTTGAATTCCTTAAATGTAATTTAAAAAATAAAGTAAAAGGAATGTGCACAATGAAAGTTGAAGTGTAGAATATAAACAAAGGAACACAAGTTGCGAAAGCGTGGCTGTCAGGATATTCATGCCATGGGCCCAGAAGGGGGTCCAAGGTATTCGATAGCTTATCTCATTGGTCAGGCCTTGAAAATCAAATCCAATACAAAACTATAATAAAACAAAACAAAATTTAAAAGATTAGTCCTTGATCTTTCTAAAAAGTATCAAGTTAAGGATAACTTTTAAATACGCTTTAAATCTATCTTTGTGGTTTAAATAATAATAATAATAATAATAATAATAATAATAATAATAATAATAATAATAACAACATGGCTGGTCCTTTTCTTAATAGTTTGTTTGAATTTATGTTAAATTAATAGTAAAAAGACTATTTTACCTTCGAACCATTTCTGAAATCTTAATCTTTATTTTAAATATATGAACTGGTGATTGGGCATACCATCTTTGAAACGGTTTTGGTGGCCGACTCCTTCTTCGGCAATGGATAGTTGACTAAATCTTTAAATTAAATTCAAATTATCTAATTATTTCCGGTCATGGCTAATCGTCTCGTAAATATCTCACATCTTCTTGAAACCCTATATCAAAAAAAAAAAAAAAAAAAAAAAAAAAAAAAAAAAGACTCGAAAGACACCAAAGAAATGTTATATCAACCTATTTGTCTTCTTGTAGTCAGATCTCCAAGTTTTTGGAATGCTCCAAATTCTACTTGAGCATCCAAATCTGGGTCAATACCAGCAAAAACATCTCCTTTTACACCATCACCATTGATGGCTTCTAGACACTTTCGGTAGCCATACTCATAGAAGTTACTCTCATATCTCCATTTATAGTTTCACTTAACTAATCGCTCATACATTTATGAAGTGATTCATATATGGTAATGACATTTTAGAAACATTCATTTGTTTTTGTTATTCACTTTTCATAATAATATTTGGCTATTATTGAGATTTCAAACTTGCAAATCAATGATTTATATATGGTAATTATTAATCCTAAATGATTTTCAATATTTTTGTAATCACTAGAGGGGATAAACATGAGTGTATTCTTGTTAGATATTTGTTGAACGTAGTCATAGCTTTGGTACTTGTGGTTCGTTTGCGATGATGAATTTTTTTTTCATCTAAATGACGATAAGAAAAAACCTAAAGTTGCAACCTTCATATGGATTTATTAATGCATGTAGTTGGAGAATGATTATGTCCAAAAAGACAAAAACAAGCCTGGGGGGGGGGGGGGATAATGACCACGATTATATGAAATGTTAAAAAGGGACCAACCTTGCCATTTATTGAAACCACATGGGCATATTTGAAGTGTTTTTTAAAGTTATCATCTACTTGCCATTTTCAAATATGCCCATCCATCACACCTAATTTCATGGCCTTTTTAAGGAACAAGTGGATGATGAGTTTTTTCTTGCTCCAAATTTTAAAAGTTGTGTTTAAATTTTTTTAAATGATTAGAATATAGGGTTTATGAGTTTAATGACAAACAAAAATCGGGAAAATTGGTTATTGCCACCGACTTCCTCCTCCATAAATGGTTAGTGTCGTCGTTAGTTACCATCTAGCGATTTTTCTTTGTTGTGGTTTGTAGGTCTATGTTGTTTTAGAGGCTCTAGTATATGTAGGTGCTTCGATATCTCTTTCAGTGAGGATTATTGTTGTTTTTAGAAGCTACGATGATAATATTGTCTAATAAATCTCTTGCAATAATATTGAACTATGGTAGGTTGGCAGAAATATGGAGACAGAAATGGGTGAGGGAGGGAAAGGGGTGTTTATTTTCTTTTTTGTTATTATCAAAATTATTTAAAAAATATAAAATAAATAAATAAGGTATAAAAGTCATTTTACATGCATTAATAACAAAGCATGCAAGAAATTAAAAAGCATATGAGTAAACACGTAAATGTTTTGATAGTTGGCATCACCATACTAATTTTGGCAAAACACATGAACCATTCATATAAAATTTTCTAATGTTAATTACGTTAAAAACAATGAATATGAATATTCACCATAATAACCAAAAGTTTCCAACTCATATCATATAATAATAATAATAATAATAATGAATTTTTTTCTAAAACACCCACTTATAACAATTATGTTAGAAAATTATGGTTTTCAAAATGTGACTTCGTAAAGTAGGTTCGGAAAGTCAAACTTTTCAAACTTCATAAGAAATTTTCGGGGAAAATGTTCGAAGATAAGTATTTTCAAAAAGGATTATGATTTTCGAATATGAAATCCTTATAGTTAAATGTTCATGTGACTGGAGAAAGAATTGTAAATATTTTCAAATAATCTTTTTTTTTTTTTTTTTTTTGAGCTGTTTTATAACAGTTTGCTTTTCCTCTAAATATTTTCAATAAAATATTTTTATTTAGTGTTAAGTTAGTGTCCTATGATTTTGCAACCAAATGTTGAGATGGCCGAGTTGGTCTAAGGCGCCAGATTAAGGTTCTGGTCCGAAAGGGCGTGGGTTCAAATCCCACTCTCAACAAAATGAATTTTTTATTTTTTCATACGTTATTTATTCTATATTTAGTAATAAATATTTCAAATATCTAATCACCAATTAATGGCAACTTTAGGTTACATAATACATATCAAGTCAAACTTTTGTTTTTTTGTGAAACTCCCC